GGTCAATTGTTCAATAGTTACATATATGTTTTTTTAATATAACTTCTTAAGACAATGCTACACACATATTTTTTGTCTCCATTTAACAAGTGCATAACATAACAAATTTACACTTAGCAGATGGTGTTTAATTCTATTAGTTTAAAAATTAGAGTAAATTGAAATATTATGAAACTTGATGGTAAGAATATTATATATATTTGTATGAAGATATTTTACAATAATTTAGTTTTTAAGTGAGTTAAGAGCATTTTTAATTTACGCTTTTTTATACATGCATAACTTGTAACAAAATTGCACTACCTTAAAAAAAAACCCACATACAAACACAGATAATGTTCTTAACACTAAGTTTCATAATAGGCCAATTTACTCTAATTTTTAAACTAACGGAGCTAAACATGATTTTCTGAGCGTAAATTTGCAATGTAGGTAACTACTTGTAAGATGGAGACAACAAATAGTTGTGTAGTGTCCTCTTAATTTTTACATTTTTCCTTTTAGAAAAAGAGTACTTAATAGAAATGATAAACCTCACACTATGAGTATACTTTAAAATGTAGGTATTTTAATACAACACAATAACTCATAATTACACACACACATTAAAAATAATGTGAYAACTTAGATATTTTGGTACCAATTATTTAATATTACTTAGTATGAATMTATTTCAAATACTCAAATGTGGATATTTTTATATAATGGTAGGTATAAATTTACTTTGAATAGCGCCGTTAGAAAATYCCAATGTAAGCAATCATAATTATGTACAGTAATCAGTCTTCAGACTATTAACAAATAACTTAACATAAAAAATTGTGACGTACGGATGGACACAATGGAGATATAAGTTTTCTAAACTTTYGTTTAGAACTTTAAATAGTAACTGATAATTAACAAATAATTGTTAATATTATTTGTATAACAAAAGGTAGGCAATAAAATTATAAAAATAAGATCCTTAAAGATATACTAAATATTTTATCAATTCAGATTTCAATTTTTCAATGTATGTAATTAATTATTATTATTGAAAATTGTAATTTGTAATTTTATTAATAAAGTTTCATGATAAAATTTATCAGGTCGCAATACATATAACAAGAACAATACGGCTTGCAGAGTGGGCCAGGGCCTATCCTCTGTGTAAGATAATGAGCATAATATATGACATTTATCATAAGTCATAACATTATAAGTGAGTGTAATATAACAAATAGAGAATAAATATTTCTAAATATTAAAGAAACACTATAATATATCATTGTAATTAAAACTTTATTTTAAGACTTACCATAGTTAGATATGATTTTATACGACTTTCTTCAACTCGTATCATTTTGAATTAGTATTTATCTTCCTAAACTATATTAAAATAAAATTATAATAATAATTTATTAATTAAAATATAACACAGACTAATTAWAGCTGTCTGTTAACATAACTATAAATAGTTAATTAATACATGACTAAAAATCAAATTTGAAAAATAACTGAATGCCCTAAGGATTAGAAATGTTTTAAATTACAAATGTACAATGCACAAAGATGAAAATGGCTGTTTAACAATACGTAGAATTAAAGAAGGTAATTCAATGGAATATAAAAACGATTGAACAAAAATTAATATATTACAATTTACAACCAATATTAGGTTGTTAGATACAAAATACTTTTAATGAACAATAGAACTTACACAGAACGTATATATAGTTAGTGGGCCACACTGAAGTTGTCAAATTGAGTTGGTATTATTAATTTACTTTAAAGATTAATTTAAAGAAACACTTTTTAGAAACATAATTAACAAGTAAGCATTAGCCGTCAAACATATGAAAATAAAATTGAGATTAAAATATCAAAACTTATACTTCATATGATTAGGTATACTTCGTAATTTATGTTCATAYTATCATGACAATGTATATTTTGTCATGTATATTATTATTATTTATTACTATTTAGTATTTACTATCAACTGTCAAGAACTGTGATCCGTGAATCGTATGTTACCTCGGCTTGATAAAATATCTAAGCTGTGTATATTACAATAATAGGTATTAGCTACAAATAATATAAATAAAAGTACAAGCACAGAGCCACAGACTGAATATTCTGTGGTACAAGTATGAATGATAAGTGATAACAGCGCCATTCAACATTGCTGCATTGAATAGGTAGCTAAATTGCTAAATAATAAGTAACTAATTATTCTGTGATTTGATGTTGTTTTTTGACGGATATAAAATAAGACTTGTAACTGTTATTTTATGTCAATTTTATATTGGTAGCTTTTATAATAAAAAATAAAATAAGACAATGGAAATAATATAGAATTAGTGCCTACATGGCTAAATAACATTATTATTATTATTATTATTTAGCCACGATTGTCTAGATAAGAAACAACTAAAATTAATAAAATAATCATAAATATGGAAATAATTATTAATTATTTAAAATTAAAAATACCTATATAGTACCTACATTGTACTAATGTTACAAATACTTACATAATATTATTACCTTCATTGCAAAACCCTTACTATTTGTTTTATACTTGTAAGAGTGTAATTCTCTCTTTTCTGAAATTTAATATTATATTATATTATTCCAATAAAATGCAAGTAGATGATCATCACTTATCATAAGTTTTTTTTTATATTATTATAGTATCAATTTAAATATTTTTAAAATACAATCTTAAAGTAATTTTAAGGTTTACAAACCAAAGAACAAGTTTTAAATGCCAAAAATATTTTAAAAATCATAATTTTGGTAACATAGGAATCATAAAAAGTATTTATCGGGTGTTGTACTATTAAGTGATTTAGTGTTATTTTGACATAATATGCAGGTAAATCTTATGTATAATTTTGTTGATCTGATTAGTGGAGTGCACGCTCAAAATATTGAAGGTTTATCATTTACAGCAATCAGCTAAAGAGCAGAAAAATCACTCTGGAACAGAATTTTCAATGTTAGATGCTTACCTATCTTTCTTCAACATAAGAACAAATAAAAGTATAACTTTGGTATATTAATTTTAATAATGAATTACATTATTAAACACATTTTTACCTATTATTTGTTGTTTTATAAAACTAATATAATTGATAAATAATAATATAAATAGTTCTATTATAATTAAAAACTACCTATATTAATATCATATATGTTAATAAAAACAAATATAATGATGCTTAAATAAATACAAACTATGTAGTTCTAAGACTTGAGTCTTCACTCGACAGGTGCGGTCACTTCATCTCAAAGATAAGAGTAAGAAACTAAATTCCATCCTTCACTCTAACCTAACCTTACCTATCAAAAATATTCTTTAAAAACCTCAACCAGATCGAGGGTATAGCATTGTCATCTAGGACTTTGCTAAAAATTCAAACAAAGCAACCAAATAAGCTTTTTAAAACACCTATCTTTGCTTAACCACTGCTGCTCTCTACTAAAAAAGTTTYCATGCCAAACTGCGAGATAATCCCAATCATTTAGTTAGCATCTCTCACTCATTATGGTAACCCATTACCCAACTAAACAACTCAATGAAACTGGTGCCACAACTTGAAAACTTTTAATAATCAAGAGGTGTCACAAATGTGAGATTTTTTTCTCGTGTGTTGTTACTCATTTATCTATCCGTATTAATACACATAGAATGTAATTTATAGAAGTAAAGTTAATTTAATTAACAAAAATAAAATTAAAATATTTCCAAGTACAAAAACCAAATGGCTGTAGACAGGAATTTAATATGGAAGGGAGCTTATTATACTAATTACATATTATTTAATAAATACATKTATACACTTTCTAAGTTGTAAGAGAAGTTAGAATACCCTAACCCCTTTGTGTCAATGTCCTGGCAAAAATAAAATTGGGTTTTCCGTTGGAAACCAATTGGCCTCTAAATTATGGTAGTTATAACTGAAGTACACCTCACAAAATAAAATATAGATCTTCTCAGTTTACATGGTCAGTCTGGGATTAAAAGGGTCACTCAAAAATGCTCGTTCTATTTTCTTTTTGGCCAGCTTTTGTGTAGTAAAAAATATTAAATGCAACATGTAAATAATCGTTACAATTTGTATAGGTATTTAAATATAATACATTGCACAATAATAATTTTATTGTATATCAATTTATTATAAACTAGTTTTATTTTGGTAAGCCATTTTCACTTTAAATACCATCAATCGCATGAACTGGGTTTGGCCAACTGGCCAAGATAAAATGATTCTAGTATCAGTTACATGCAATACGAAAACTATAAGAAAATATTTCAATAAAATTTGATTTAACATCCAATATTTAAGAACTATATAGAGTATAGACATAATAAAATAAAAACCTAGTGCAATGAGCCATGAAAAAAATCAATGATTAGATCATTTACAAAGTGTATTAAGCGATTTTATTTAATGCTGAATTGCAAAAAGAAGAAAAAAATATTTAATCATAAATATGTTTATAAAATAGTTAATATATTCATATTAAATATTATATTTTATCATATATATTTAATTTATTTTAACTTAATAAAGGTAAAATTTTAAATTAATACTATTCTTAAGCTATGAAATAAATTAAAAAATGTTTTGAATGATTATTTTAAATATATAATATTATGGTTTACATTCATAATGGTATGTATCTAATGATCTAAGATCTCTCCAAGTTGGCGGGTATGCATTAAGCAATCGATTTCCACACGCTTTACATACTGAATTGAATAATATCAAATAACTGTTGAGCCAAGTCTATAAACAAATAAACAAAAAAGATATTAATAATTATTTTGATATTTTTAATATTTATAAACCAAAATTTTTTATCTAAAACTACCATGAATGACCGAACTGAAAGATCTGGCAATGTTGGTGAAGAAAAATGTAACATAGCTGCATTAGCATGATCAGTTATCTTACGAAAAACATGATATCTTGATTCTTGCCAAAGCTCTTGTTGTAAACTATTAGGGTTAATAGGCTCATTGAATCCTTTAACAATAACCCATTCAATCATAACTCCTTTAAATGATATAATAGCTTGTAAAACTCTACCTAAGCCAACCTAAATAGTAAATATAAACAAAGTTTTAATTAATTTTAATAGTTAATACATTTTACCTTTCGAGAAAAGTACTTTTAATAAGAAAATATTGCATATAATTTATTTATCTTCAAAATTGTTTTTAGATATTATTTATTTAATCAACACTTAATGTGGAATAAATGCAATTTAGTATCCATGCTTGTTTTTTTATTTTATTTTCAAAATTAATGTTTTTAAATACATTAAATTAAAGTAATTGAAAAAATTGTAGCTCTTTAATACTTTGAAAATTGTATTATGAAAAACCACAGTGGTATTAATAAAAAAATTCAATATTTTAAGCAATAGTACTTACTTATTAAGTTAGGTTACTTATATTATTTGTAATCAATATCTAAACATTAATATTACTTTTATATTTGCGGTTTGCCCAATCATTGTAAATCATTATTGTTATATAATGTCAAAAAAATTTAAATAATATTAAGTTTGATAATCACAAAATAAAAATAAACATACCTACTTAACATTAATTTTTATAAGTTTCACAATAGGAGATAATTGTTATTAATTTGTCCCCAACTTTTTATATTGATTTTTTATTACTTAAACATAATATGACATAATATAAAATTCAAAAATTGGGTTTATACATTTTTATTAGGGTAACAACAAATTTTTTTTTTTTTTTTAATAACTTACCGTGTAAAAAAAAAAAATAACAATCACTAAAACTGAATTTAACACTAAGATGCAGGTACCTTAAAGTACAAACTTCGAAAAATTAAAATATAAGTTTAAATACTAAGTTGTATTTTCCCCATAATATTTTCAATAATTATAATAAAATTTTTTGTTTTACTCAAGTTGTGAAGTAGAAAATAAATATTGAAAGAAAATTACCAGTAGAACAACATTTGATGCACAGGGCCTTGTTATTGTAATACTCATATCAGGAAACATCCTATCAATATTAGTTAATAGTACATCAACAGCTCTAAAAAATATTTATAAGATAACTAATTAATTAATTAAACATTAATTATTAAATATCATTAAAATGTATATAGATATTTACTGTGGTGATATATTATGCAAACTAGACTGTTGGCGTTTCTTCTTATTCGAACTGGAATTGTAATAGGATTTTTTTAATGAATTATGACTTAAAATTTGTACAGCATTTGAACTGAATTTATGTACCTTAAATCATATAACTTAATTAGTTAAACATAAAATTATAAATGTTTAATTAAAATACATTAAACTATAATTTGTAATACTTTGTCAAGCCATTTATGAGAAGAAACCAGAGGAGTGTACAATGCCTGTCTATCGGATGTGCTCTCTTGCGTTAAAAATGATGTGTTATATAATAACATAGCACCTGGAGGACTAGATAAGGACCCAACCACTTGCTCAAGATCCCTAAAAATTAAAAAGTACATACACCATTAAAATAAGTTAAATTTAATTTTAAAATTTAATAAAATGTACTATGAATCAAACTAAACCTCATATGAAGTCCAAGTCTTCCAATCATTTCATTCATAGAATACATATAACGATTATCTTTTRAATCTGTTTGTGAACCATCATCTTTAACTCCTTCACCAATTTCAATAATAAGTTGCATTAGTTCCAATCTTAATGTCCTAACGGTGTTTAAGGCGACTTGCATAGGATTCAACTCCATATTTTTATTTGTGTGTTTATCAAAGAGGTAATATAATAGAAATTAATATAACAAATTGTTTTTAATTTGGTAAAGAAAACTGTTCAAAAATACACCGAAATGGTTATTCAAAATTAATATTTATTTGTCGTGTTATTTAGTGAACAATATTATGCGTATTATTTTAAAATTAAAATGATTAAATACTAATATTATTTACTGAGAATTAGGAATTCACTAAATAAATAACTATATATGCATATAATTTAAGTTACAATTACAAATAGCATGTACATTGTATATTAGTCGTGATCAACGATAGTAGAATAAGTGAAACCTGATAGTACTATATAGTAAACAGTAAACACTCTGACTCGCGCTC